GACTTATTTCTTGACAAAATGCTTTATCTTATCTCATTTGTTGATATGTGTCCTCAAGACTGTTTTACATACCAGTATCTAAGTCAACATTTATAACAGTACATAGCACTGAAACATGTATCTCAAGTTTGTATTAGACACTCTAAATACCACATTTGAGACCAGGAAAATACTTAAGAAATTTGAGCTATATGAAATTGTTAGTTTACAATGATTTTAAACTAAAAATGGGGTCATTATTTTAATTTTCTACCATCTTTAATTGTGCATTATATTGTACATTTTCTAAAGCTGCATTTTGTTTTTATTGTATAATATAAAAGGTACCCAAAATATAGGCTGCATTCTAACTTAACGGTAATGTCATATAAATTACTAACTGCCCCAATAATAAGCATTTAATTATAACATTAAATCTGTAAATATAAAAAGATCCTACATTTTAAACATAGGTAATGACAGAAATTTTGCAATCATGATTTTTATCATAAACACAATTGAAACAATATAATATACAGAGTCCAAAACAACAACTATAAATGTCTCAAATGTGATCTTGAGTTGACGTTGAACTTGGATTTATAAACTTTTTCAAATGTAAAGGGTTCAGGATGCATCACAATACATAAGTCTTAAAATGACTATGTTTCAAAATTATGAAAACTTTCTACTTGTTTCTCAGTATCTTTATAGTACCATGACCTTAGGAGAATCAGCTCCACATTATTTCCCACAAAAACAAAAACAAAAACAAAAACAAAACAAAACTACTGCTTCTACAGGTTACTGCAAGTGACTGCTTCAAGCAACAGGTCTTTTTGGCCCAGATCCTGTTTCTTACATTCTTTTTTTTTTTTTCGTTTGTTGATTACTCTAAATGATGCTTTTTAGGTCTTTTCAAGTCTCATTTGAGCAAAGTAGCAAATGACAGCAATACTGAAAGTTTTTAAAATACATTTAGAAATTTTGATCTTGATTAATTTGCAAAGTAAATGAAAAATGCGTCGTAGAACATGGTTCTCAACCTGTGGGTCTCAATCCCTTTGGGGGCCCAATGACCCTTTCACAGGGGTCACCAAGACCATCCTGCATAGCAGATATTAGCATTATGATTTACAACAGTAGAAAAATAACTTACAAAGTAGCAATGAAAATAATTTTACAGTTGGGGTCACCATGGCTGTGTTAAAGGGTCACAGTGTTAGAAAGATTGAGAACCACTCTCATAGAATATTTACATATAACCCAAAAGTTGACTTTAGAAGATAAACAAATACAGTGTATTGGAATTCTTCAAGGGAAGAGGTAGACAACCTTCGTCTCACATTTTTAACTTACTTCTGTTTGGTTGTTTTCGTATTTCTTCCTCAGATTTGAAACTCCCAAAAACATATTTTTTAAAAAGTGTATGTATTCATCTTCTTATTCTTTTATAAAATCTTGTGTCTATGTGTATCCACACATTATAGATACACACAGTATATATGTATAGTTAATTTAAGAAGCCATGCAATGTGCATATACTCTATTGCTAATATACTGTAATAAATATTTGCTGAATTATGAATAAAATCAGAATCTAGTTAATCAACACTTATCTGATGCTTTCTTCTCTTCACTGATAAGCTTCCACCAGCAGAACAACAAGGGTTTATTTAAAATAAAGCATCTCCATTGCTAAGCTTTTTATTTATCTTTAGAATACTGTGTTATTATTATCTCATCAGTATTGTTAATCAGTAAGTTATGAGTCATAAGCCTGAGAGATGCATTTACTCAAAACCTTTCCTATTTTCTCAATAATCATTCTTTAGCTTCAGTCATATGTAGTCATAAATATCATACAAATATTGAGGGTCTGCAATGAGACAGGAAATATGTTTAGCACAAAGAATACAGAGAGTATTGTGTTTACCTGGAGAGACATGACTTAAGGCAATTAAATCCAGAGATAAGTGTTGATTGGCAGATTCTCAATGTTTTATGTGTGTCTAGAGTGAATGGCTATGCTTAAGGTAGGACTATTATAGCAACTTGGAGGAAAACAATATCCCAGCAAATATCATTATTGTCATGAAGGAAGACTGAGGTATCACTAAATGTGGGAAGGTACATTCCTTATAGGCTAGGAAACAGTCCATGAGCTTGAGGAACCTCACCTCTCTCCTTATCAAGTTTTTGCTGCCATAGCCAAATGACAATAGAGTCACCAAGTGAGCTGGTTCCCTTAGAGCTCTAAATAGCAAATTCCATCATTCTCTCCTCCTCACAGTTTTATCAAACTCTCATAATAATGTTTAGAGATATTAATCTGATACAAAGACCCTACCCAGACTAATCATCTCAGTTTAATTAGATAATTCCAAGAATCTACTTTGAATTACTATCTTGGTCCAGAATATATACTTATTTTCCTCCTACTACTTTTCACATGTTTTTTAAAGATAGCCATCATTCCTTACATGTTTAGAGATTCTTTAATGAGATTGGGCATACGGATTCATTATAACCTCCATGTGCTTATGATTTTAACATATGTCACATTTGGCCATCGAGGTACAGTTTATTAATTTTCTGTCAACACCAAGTTCTACTTCCTGGTAACTGTACTCCTATCATTGCCTCACTTGCTGAAGTTACCAGATGAAGTGACTGGCAAAATGAAACAAAACTAGACAACTGTGCTCTGGAATACTTTAAATAGATCTCTTATTCTTTAATGAAATTGTTGTTCTCTATGCTAACTAGGTGTTAGTTCTTTGACATTATCGAATATAATTATTCAAGAGGACTTTAGAATATTTGACTTAGTGATTTGAAATTACTTTTGATCAAGACCCACAGTAAAAAAAAGTTGTGCACCAAAGACTCATACATTTAAAATATCTCCACAATAAAAACCTTACTACTTAAAATACAGACTATATGAAACAGTACCTTGTTATTATTTAAACAAAACAAATAAAACTAATAATGTCAAAATTAAATCAATAATAAACCCCCAAAATAGCTTTGTATTTAATCTCGAAGATAATCACAAATTCTGCTGATGGTTATGCCCTCTCACCCCTTCTATTTTGCTATTAATTAATTTATGTATGAACATGAAGTCTTGAGTGGTAAAGGACTTTCCCAGACAGATGAGTGGAAACCTGGCTATAAAACATGTGTAAATAAATATTCCCTTTTCCTCTTCGATGTCAGCAGGGGCCTTTTATAAGAAGCTATGGATTTCTCATTTATTTACTATATGAAATGCGATCCCTTGGTCAAGGTACTTTTGCTAATGAAGTCATTGAATCCACTAACTAGTCTCATACTGTCTTCATGATCAGTCCACAGTTTGTGGCAGAATGTGCTAAAATCCTTTGTCAGCCACAATCCCCAAGTTCTGCCTAGTATTTGTCTGTGGGTCTCTGCATCTGCTCCCATCAGCCTCCTGAGGAAGACTCTGTAAGGACAATTGGGATAGGTACAGATGGGTTTGTGCCTAGTCTTTCTTATTGCATCTTGTTATTCCAAGTTGAGTTGGTGTCCCTGGGAGGGCTGCTCTTTTTTGAAGCGAAATGACAGAGCAGTGGATCTGGGGGAGAAGGGAGGTTGGGGGCAGGAACTAGGGAGAGTGGAGAGAAGTGAGGCTACAGACAACATGTGCTGTATGAGAGAAGAATAAATAAAAAGGAAAAAACCCTCTTGTCTAGAGGTCCAATACTCATAGCTATTCACTCTGAATCAAATATGAGGAGGCTTCAACATAACATAATATAGTAAAATGGCCCAAGTAGATAGGAGAGCATAATAAAGGTATAATAAAAAGTATCTGGAGTAGAAAAGAGACCATAATAATATGTAAGAGTAGAAAAGTAGGTATAGATGTTGCAATAAATTGGGAGAGGAAGAGAGCCAGACTGTTAGAGAGGCAGGCCACTGAATTCTGAGCTAAAGGTAGATGAAGACTTCAAGTTCTTTTATATGTTTTTCAAATTTAAATTGTTAACTTATCATATTCACTTCTGTACATTTTATTTTGCTAAACAATAAATGTACTTTCTGATACTCTAAAGTATGGCTATTGTGGTGGATTATATTATTAGGATAGGATCTGTCTGGGTCAGCCTTAGGCAGGAAATGGACAACCTTCTTGAGCTCATGCTGGTATTGGCAAGAAAGTTGGAGAATGTAAAAAATAATTATCATTTAAGAATATGACAGCCTACATGTATAAAGAATTATATTTCCTTGGAAACAAACTCAAAACTAAACAATAACAAGGATCACAAAATAAGAATTAGGTTTAAAGCAATGATAAGTGGACACATGGGAAATTTATACAGTGAGACTAAGCACCTCTTGAAGAGATGAAATAGCAAGATTGAGCTTTTTGGATTTTAAAGAAATCATTGATCACATGTCAGTTATTGATTTCAGTATAAAGCAATGGCATGAATACTACTACATGAAGTTAATTATTTTAATAAAAAATTAAAAGTGATCATTTATTTTGGAGTTTAAGTTTTTAACTCAATAATTATGTACACATGAGTATTTTCATTTAACTAATTTCATTCATGTGATATATACAATAATCCAGTTGTAGTCATCCTCTTTCTTTGAATGAAACAAAAAATTTAATAGTCTCTGCTATTCAATTTGTATTTTGTTATCTCATAATATACTTCATTGAATAATATACTATTAAAAACATACCACAGGAGCATAGTAAATCAATTTAACTATGTTTAATATTTTACCCTTTGAAGCAGAGCTTTTTTTAAGTGTTAAAGTTATAGTACTGTAAATATACTACATTTAATTACTATTTAGAAAGAAAGTAATTCCTTGGTCCCCTTGTTTCATCCAAAAGCCAATGAGGCAAAACTTTAAAATATAATGTCATATAGTTAAAGTAACTTCTCCCAGTCAAAATCTGCGTAGCCTGTCCCAAGAGATATAAATATCTGTCCCCATTGTCAACTCACTGAGAAAAGCTGGGTACTTACGCGTACATCATGGACCCAAGACTGAGAAGGCTTCTATCCAGTCACCATCTGATCTCTATCAGCCAGGTCAGGGCTGGGAGGCTGGAAAATAATGACAGTCACTGGGGACAAGAAAGGAAACAAGTCCAACAGGTTTACTGCCTGAGGTTTGCTGTCTTCATGTAGCCTGATAGGCGCACGGTCTATTTGGTGCCAGCCGTTGCCACACAATGAAGTAATTGTCGATACCTGCATAGAGAAGCTCCAAGCAGTAGAGGGCCCAGGTGCACACAACTGGTGATGATTCAGAAGTCACACTTTTCCAGTCGGGGAGGTATGATCAGAATTGAGGTGTGGACTCCTGGGGGTTTTCTTGATTTGTTATTTTAAGCAAATCAAAACACTAGAGTATAGTGACGCCACTTCTTTGTTGTCAGAGATCTTCCATCTCTTCCCCTTGAGGGGATCATGAGATGTGGGGTAGCAGAGTGGTCCTGAGTTCTACGCCAGAGCACCTGTGTCTGTGTCCTTGGTGGTGTGACCATGGACAGTCAGATTAGCTTGTTGAAAATGACATTTCCCACAAGCAAATAGTAAAATTAATTTTATCTAACAGTGGCCACTTTAGCTCTAAAAATAAAAACAGATTTCACCAAAAGTTTATTCTTCCAATGGAAAAAAAACGGAAAAGTAAAACAAAAATGTGATTTCTCTTTTCTCATCACCAGAAATAATTAGTAGATTTCAGAGGCATAAATAACCCAGTATTTAGAAATAGTCCTCATACAATTGCATACTTAGAGAGCTCTGAATGTATGAATTTCTCATAAAATTATATGAAGTTTTAAGGTAAATATTACAATTTTGAGGGCTACCTAAATATTCAAAACCAAACTGTGCCTAGTGGCATGGGTCTGTAACCACAGTTCTTCAGCAGGAAGATGCAGAAGGATTCTAAGTTCAAGGCCTAGAGCAGCAGTTCTTATCCTATGGGTTGTGACCCCTTTTGGGGGTCACATATCAGACATGCTGCATATCAGATATTTACATCACCATTCATAATAGTAACAAAATTACAGCTATGAAGTAACAACATGGCAATTTTATGGCTGGGGTTCACACCACAACTTGAGGAACTGTATTAAAGAGTCACAGCATTAGGAAGATTGAGAACTACTGATTTTGGATGATACTGACTATATATTTGTTGATTATAGCCTTCACTACATTATCTACATCCTCCCCTGCCCACTCCTCCACTCTTCTGAAGGACTGCTGGATTATGTCAAAGACTTTTTTCCGTCCATTTGTTCAGGGAGTTATGAAGTTTCTGTTCATGAGTCCAATTGTGTTGCTTGTTATATTTATGGATTTGTTTTTGTTGAACAATTCCTTTATCTCTAGAATAAAAACAGCTTGATCATGATGAATGATCTATTGAATGTGTTCTTGAACCGAGTTTGAAAATATTTAATAAGATTTTTTGCATCTATGTTCTTCAGAGAGATCATTCTGTAATTTTCGTCTGTGGGTGTGTGTGTATATGTGTGTGTGTGTGTGTGTGTGTGTGTGTGTGTGTGTGTGTGTGTGTGGTTTGGGTATCAAGATAAAAGAGAATGTGAAAATATTCCTTACTTTCCTATTTTACATAATGGTCTGAGGAATCTGTGCCTTTTTTATAGTTCTAGAAGAATTTAGCTGTATTTCATCTGGAATTTAACTTTTTTGTTGAGAGGTGTTTTTTATTTTGTTTAAGCACTGTTTTAATTTAACTGTTTGTCACAAAGCTGTTTAAATTTTTTGTCACATCTTTATTGGGTCATATACAAATACAAATTCATCCATTTCTTCTAGATTTCCCAATATAAAGGGATATAAGTTTTTAACACACATTTTTGTGTCTTTTGGTGTTTCTTTGGTACTTTTTCCAAGGTCTCCCCCACTAACTTTATTGATTTCTGGCTTCTTTCTCCTGACTAATTTGGCTAAGATTTATCATTATTGTTTATCTTTTCTTCTTTTGTGTTTTGTTTGTTTTGAAACAGGTTTTCTCTGTGGAGTCCTGGCTGTATGGAAACAAGACTGGCCTTGAACTCACAAAGATTCATCTGCCTCAGCCTCCTGAGTACTGGGATTAAAGACATGTGCCACAACTGCCTGGATGTATTGTTTATATTTTCAATGAACCACTCATTGGTTTTCTTGGACATTAGCTTGTTTCTCATTAATTTTGACCCTGATCTTGACTCTTGACTCACTAATGTCAGTTAATTAATATTAATTCATTTTATACCTCATGATCCAGCTAAATGTACGAACACAGCAAGTATGAAAGAAATGGTTATTATGCAAAAGGAGGGAAAATACATACAGTAGCACTGAAGATCTGTTTCCTGTATTCAAAAACTCATTTATTTTCATTCTTTTAATTATATTACAGGAAAATATTTCATATACATATAGCTAAAATTTGAAAAACAGTAGCTTCTATTGTAATACAATAGCTTGAGAACTCAAGACCAATTTCTAAAATTCCCTTCATTATACTCTCAGGATCTTGAACAGTTTCCAAACAGATTGTCTTCTTTCATAATGCTCTCACCACAGTTATCAAACTGATAGAAAAAGATCTTAGTAACATCTCTTATGGTTGATCCATATGGATGTTGAGGTGTAAGTTGTGTTTTGTAAGCGCATAGAGATAGTCTGTGTCTACGGATTGATTTACAATTGTCCTCTTCACAAAGGGAAAGATTTGAACCTAGAATTCAACCTGGCAATATTTGAATGCTGCCAGGTAGGAAACAAAAAAATAAAACTAGAAATATTCTTAATGCTATGAATCTATTTCCAAAAAAAGCTTTTTATATATCCTCTCTGAATATAGAGATAGCATCAAAATCAAATGCCAAAATTTAAGATGCCAAATAATATAATGTCACATAGTGAAGCATGAAGAGATCCCTGATCCCCCACAAAAAATGTGGATGGTTTTCCATCATCAGAACGAGCAGATGCTCTGGTTCATTAGAAGGCCAATGAACAAGGAATTATACACATGCACATATACATGTAATGAGAATTACTGAGAAATAGAGGCCATAAATTTGAATAAATGGGGGAAGTATATGTAAGGATTTGGAGAAAAGATAGAGAAGAGTAAAATGATGCAATTGTATTATAATCTCAAAATATTAAAGAACTAGTTTTAAAAATCTAAAAGATATTAAAGAAGTAATTTAAAAAAGAGTAATAATTTAACTTCACAACACAGCCCATTCTGTATAACAAGTTTATAAAACCCTGTGAAATGATGAAGATGCTAACGTGATTCTGGGGCATACTGCTCTTCCATACTTGATGGGGGAAGTTCTTCTGTGTTGTCCTACTGGTTGATTAATAAAGCACTGTTGGCCAATAGGAAAGCAAGATAGGTGGAACTAGGAGTCGAGGAGGATTCTGGGAAACAGAAGCACAGTCAGTTACGATGTAGGAGGAAGAGGTCTGGACCCTTTCTCCAGTAAGAGAAGACCATGTGGAAATACTCAGATTAACAATTATGGGTTAAAAATTAAGTCAGAGCTAGCGAATAAGAAACCAAGTAAATGGCCAACAGCTTCATAATTAATATAGTGTTTCATGTGTTATATGGAGGCTGAGACTGCTCAGAACCCAGGTGGCTGGCAGGAAGACTACACGTTACACATACTGGCTTCTTCTGTGAATTGGGAGCTCCATATGTGAATGTTCTTCATTTCCCAAGTAAATAAAGATATTCTTCCTCAAGATCTAATGGCTTTCCTGGACTATAGGAGCCACTGATTTTTTATTCCTTTAAAAATATTTATGTTTGTGTATGTTGTGTGTAGAACGGGTGATATGTGGGAGGAAGGAGTGTATACACCTAGCTGTATGTGTAGAAGTCCAAGAACAAATTTTAGGAGCCATGCATGTATAATTCCTCTTGTCTCTCTCTCTTTGACATTATTTCTGGCGCTCAGCCTGGTGCTTGGCTGTGGATCTTTCATCAGCCTCCATCAGTTACTGAATGAATGCTCTATGATGACAATTAGTGTAGTCACCAAACTGATAACAGGAGAAGGACAGTTCAGACACCCTCTTCACTGGGGTCATCTAGCTCTCTCTGTCTACATGGAGTTCTGGAAATCAGTATAATGTGTTCTCTCTCATATATGGTTGCTATCATAGACTCTTTAGAAATGTGTGCTTAAGTTGGAGTATCCGTAGAACTCAGGAAACTAGGGAAGGACAATGAAGTAAGATTTCAGGGGCATGGAACATTTGTGGTATGAAGGAGAAGAGAGGAATAATGGAACAGGAAGGGTTAAGTGGTAGATGAAGTAGGAGGGCAAAGGAGAAGAAGGAGTATGTGGAAGAATAACTAACACTAAAGACATTGACATGCCATTTGGAAACCTAAATACATATATACACATACACACATATGTAAAAGGGGCTTAAATGGAGTTTGACAGCATAAACTATCAAACAAAAAGCTCAGTGCCAAGTATGTATTATGACTGAGCTCACAAACAATGAAAGCAATTGCTGTTCTTAGATACCCTTTATAAGTTGATAATAAAGAATTATTGTTATCTGCTTGACTTAAAGAACATAAAGAAATCAAACTTATACTCTTACAGATGCTTCATCCCTACTGTCCAACTTTTATGTAACCAGCACCCCTTCATGATAAAGGTCTTGGACAGATCTGAGATAACAGGAACATACCTAAACATAATAAAAGCAATATATAGCAAACCAACAGCCAACACCAAACTAAATGGACAGAAACTTCACACGATCCCTCTAAAATCAGGAACAAGAAAAGGCTATCCACTCTCTCCATACTTCTTCAATATTGTACTAGAGCAACAAGAAAATAAAAGGAGATCAAAGGGTTACAAATTAGAAAAGAAGAGTCAAACTTTCCTATTTGAAGATGATATGATAGTTTACATAAATGATCCAAAAGAAACTCTGCCACGGAATTCCTACAGCTGATAAATACTTGAAGCAAAGTGGCAGTAGACAAGACCAACTCAAGAAAATCAGTAGCCTTACTATATACAGACAATAAT